TGGAATCCCAGGCTCGCCGGCTCTTGCCGCCGCCGCGCGCCTTCCCGGTGACACTGATGGATGCGCCAATGGAAGGATAGACAGATGTTAGGGAGGGATCTAACGGCATGCAAAACCAGGATAGGAGAGGCAGGGAGAGAGAGATGGGGGGGGGGAAGAGAGGGAGGGAGGGAGGGAGAAGTCAAAACATCCCGATGGTATGAAAGTCACTGATTCCCGGAGCAAACAATCCAGACAAGGCACATTCGCACGCCCACAAGCCTTCTCAGGGAGAGGATCTCTCTCTCTCTCTCTCTCTCTCTCTTTTGGGGGCAGAGGCTGCATCAGCCCCGATCTCGCCTCTCAAGGACCAGATCCTGCATCAGCGCGAAGAGACAGCCCGCCGCAACATCCGTGAAATGCATCCCACAAGAGAACTCACCCTCTCTGGTTTTGCTCCTAGAGAATTAGCATTTTTTTTAAAATCCCCGTCCTCTGCTGCGATTTCCCGAGGACGGCGAGAATAGTTTTGCCCGGGCGTGATGGGTGCGTTTCATCCTAAGGACCGATGCGCTCTCTCTCTCTCTCTCTCTGGGTCTCCATCCCCTTCTCTCCCCGCCCTCTCCCCAGAAAACGACGTCCAAATAATAAAAGGTTAGTTAAAAACCACCAACAACCCTAACTTCCTCGTCGATAAAGAGGGGGGGGAGGAGGAGACGTTTAATCTTCTCCCTCCCCCCCCCACGCAAACCAAACCCACTCGGATTTCTAAAAATGCGAGCCCACATCTGCACCGATTTGAGGGCTTCCCAAATCCCCAAAATAAAACGAGAGAAAATGCAGACCCTCCGCTCTCTGGGGGAGAGGGAAAAAAATCTCATCGTAAGGAAAGAAAAAAATAATAATAAAAAAGTGAAATCGTGTTTTTTTTTCCACCCCTATCCCCGCACACTTTGCCTCTCTGGGTTTGGGTTTTTTTTTAAATTTTTTAAGAAAAAGGAGAGCAAGAGAGAGGAAAAATTATTTACTACTGATGTTTGCTGCACTTAAGTAAAGCATCTGGGTCTTAAAAGGCGCTTCCTTGTGATTTGCTGGCGCGGTTATTAAATCTCGCTCTCTCTCAGCCACACAAAGAAAAAAAAAGGCGAGGGGGAGGTAAAAAGAGAGAGGAAAAAGCGAGAGGGAGGCGGGGGAAGCAAAGGGGGGGCACTGGCCGTCGAGTAGGTGCTTGGCTCTACCTTCTGATCCACGTTCACGAAGCACTTGAAACACAGTTAAGAGTCTACTCCCTCTTCTTCCTATTTTTTTCCCCTTCCCTCCCTCTCCTCCCCCCTTTCCCTCGGCCGTACCTTCACATTGCCAGCCAGGGCTACCCAATCAAGCGCGCAGCGCATCGATTCGGCCAAGCGCGCTTTGGCGAAGCCGGAGGGGGGGGTTTGCTGTGCGTGCAGGGGCGCGCGGGTTTGTTT